TTGTCTTTTGACACAGGGTCTCACTATGTAATTCAGGCTGGTCTTGAACTCACTATGTAGTCCTGGCTGGCCTTGAACTTGTGGTGATCCTCCTGCTCCAGCCTCCTGAGTGCTGAGATTACAGGCATGCACCATCATGCCCAGCTTTGAAGTCCTTTTAATAGTTGCTTATAATTTCAAGATAGTCTGTATCTGCATGTGTTTTCATAATGAATAACTTCTAAATGAGTCATTATGACATGAAATGTATATAGCTTGATTTAAAGATCTCAGTGTATGTGTTAATCTTATTATAGTATATGCAGAATCAGAATGTACCTGGGAATATTGAATTAACTGTGAATATCCTGACAATGGGTTATTGGCCAACATACGTGCCTATGGAAGTTCATTTGCCACCAGAGGTAAGATTTACTGTTTAGGACCTTAGTAATAGGCATATAAATAATAATTCTTTTTTATCATTTAAGCAACAAATACCAGGTTTTTAATATTTTATTCTTCTACTATAATTTCCAATTTCAATTTAGTACTTAACAAATGAAACCAGGTTTCTAGATTGAGTGCTAATTTCCCCAACTATTCTTTCCTTTTCCCGAATTATACCTCTCAGTCTCCCTAGTGGTCAAAAATTCTTCTCACACGTATTTTACCTGGAAGCAGGATTGCTAAATGATGGCAGCTTGAGTAAATCCATCCTAACTCTTGGGAAAATGTCTAGCCCAGGGCCAAAGCATAGAAAAGAGGCTAAGGCCAGAGAGGAGGAGATATCTAGAGTCTTCTGTGGAGATGATCATGGGAGCCCAGGGATTTGATTTTCCACAGTAGAAAAGAAGAAAAGAGGCAGAGACAGAACTTTAAAAAAGGTTCACATTTGACAGGTGATAGGAAGAGGAACCTGCGAAGGAAACCTGTGTAGAAGCAGCAGCAATGTAAAGTCACCAGTGTAGTACAGAGGAATAAAAGCCACTGAAGGTGACTTATTTCATAAAAGGAGATGATTAAATAGTGCGAGAGATCAAAGGGTATAAAGACTGACAAAGGCTATTAAATTTGGTATTTGGGAGATCATCACCTTACATCAAAGTAATTGGTGGATCTACTGGATATAGTCTTTAAAACTTAAGAATTTGGTATACATGCAGTAAGTATAAAAAGTAATGAGTGTGGTATTGGATATAGTGCTTAAATAAACCTTATTTTATTTACTTTAGATGGTAAAACTTCAGGAAATTTTCAAGACATTTTATCTAGGCAAACATAGTGGCAGGAAACTTCAGTGGCAATCAACCCTAGGACACTGTGTGCTAAAAGCAGAATTTAAAGAGGTAAGTGGATATTCTTTTCTTTTTTTGAGACAGGGTCTCACTATGCAGTTTAGGCTGGCCTTGAGCTATGTAGCCCATGTTGGCCTTGAGCTCATGGCAATTCTCCTGCCTCAGCCTCCCCAGTGCTGGGATTATAGAAAGTGGATATTCTTAAGAATTAGTTTTCATCTTTTTTTTTTGGTACTGGGGATCGAACTCGGGTCCTTGTGCTTGTGCAGTAGGCAGCGAAACCACTGAGCTAAATCCCTGGCCCAGTTTTCATCTTTAATATTGAGGTTGTAACTCTTTACATGAAGGTTCAAGCTGTTGTGCATGACAGTAGTGATCACTTGTCACAGTTTTTCACAGGTTTGTGTATATGTATTTTATGATTGTGGTCTTTTCCACAATTGGTTTGCCCATTCTATAAAATCTAAAACAATAACCCCTTTCCCCCACCTTTCCTCAACCTGTGGGTGCAGAATTCACACTGCCACTTCTTGACAGGAATCTTCTTGTTGCTGGGAGCTAAAGAATAGAGTGGGAGTTGAGAACAGTGCCCATATCTAATTTCAAAAAGCTCCTGCAGCTTTTTGTGACTAATCTGAATCAAACAAGTCAAAAATGCATTTGAAAGAATGAAATTTTTGCTACTTGTGATGAGTATCTGTAATGACATAGGGCCGAATTATTAACAGTACTTTGTTGTTCTGTTTTAATTATAAGGCTTTAAAAAGATCTGTTAAAAGGTCAACTAATCCTCCTTATTTTTAGTAGGACACTCCTAACCTCTACACCAAAATATACTGTATTACCACCTCAAGTAGTTTTTTTCTGGATAATGTTAATCTGTGTTTCTAAACCCACTAATTGAAAAATATTTTTCTTGTGAGAGAATTATTATTTGATTAATTTTTTTAGGTGTTTAAAAAAAAAGATAGCTGAACACTGCTGTTTCTCCAACAGGGTAAAAAAGAACTCCAGGTCTCTCTTTTTCAAACACTGGTGCTGCTTATGTTTAATGAGGGAGAGGAGTTCAGTTTAGAAGAGATCAAGCAAGCTACTGGAATAGGTTTGTATTGAATCATTCATGTCACAAGCATTATTATGTGCATACCACTCTGCTAAGTGTCTGGGGGATACAAAGGAATAATCTTTCTCTCTTATTTGGAGGGAGTACTGGAGGTTGAGTCCAAGGCCTTTACACTGCAATTTATCCCCACTCCCTTTTTTATTTTTATTTTTGGTTTTTTGAGATAGGGTCTTGCTATGTGGTTCAGAAGGCTATCTTGAACTCACTTTGTAGCCCAGGCTGGCCTCAAACTCGTGGCAATCCTGCCTCAGCCTCCTAAGTGCTGGAATTATAGGCATGTTCTACCATGCCCGCGCCCCTTTTTTATTTTGAGAAAAGTCACTAAGTTGAACAGGCTAGGCTGGAACTTTCCCTGTTGCCTCAGCCTCCCAGAGTTCTGGGATTAGAAGCATGCACCACCATGCCCAGCTCCTCTGTACTCTTAATATAATATAATGGAAAGGCGGGGGGTCGGAGAAATGACATTTGAAATAATTCAAAACGAGTAAGTACCAGTCTGTGGTACTGAACCAGAAGTATGTTAGGAGTTGCAAAACGAGATCATTTTCCACTGGCACAATTGGGAAAACCCTGATGAAGGAACTGGGACTTGAACTGGGCCAAGGTTTGGTTAGAGGAGAAGGCAGATGAAGGAATTAATGTGAGAAAGTACTTGGATGTGGGAGTGGGTACAGTGGAGGCAGGAATCATAAAGATTTTAATTGTAGCATAGAATAATGAGCTACAAAATTTGATAGGTAAGGAGAATAGGGCCTGATAAATATAGCAAAGGAAACCTCCATTTATAAAATCTTATTTGTGAAAATGAAAGGAACATATTTGGACAGCTTACCTAAAATCAATAGACAGGGCAACTGAAGAGGATAAAGAGATTCCTTCAGTGAGTTCGATCTCTGGTACTGGATAAAAACAACTCAAAAGAGATTCCTTCAGGCATAAAGGGCTAAGGTGCTTAAACTAGAATGAGACCAAGTGAGAATGGAGAAGAGGTATCTCAAAAGGAAGCAACTACTAGATATTTGAAGAATGAAGGAGAGGAAGAGTTAAAAGATGATTCCAGGGTTTCTGACCAGGTTAGTAGTATCACTATTAACTGGAAAGAGCACAGTTTTATGGGAAAAGTGGACATACTGGAATTAATAGTAGAGCAACCTGGTGGATGTGTCCTTGAAATGTGGGACTAGAAAAGTGAAATGTCATGGAATAATAATTGATGCCTTTTAGAAGATGGCTAGGAGAAATGCCATTCTACAGTGTAGGATAAAGAAGTCTTTATTTTGTTAACTCCGGAAACAAGCATTTTTTTTTTTTGGTTCTGGGGATTGAACTCAGGACCTTGTGCTTGTTAGGCAGGCAGCGGAACCACTGAGCTAGATCCCCGGCCCAACAAGAATTTTAATAGAGGGATGGTGGTGGAAGCTAGATTTTTTGAATGTAGCTGTTCATACTGGTGAGCTGCTAACAAATAATTGAATGACTTTTCTTCTTCAGAGGATGGAGAGTTAAGGAGAACATTGCAATCATTAGCCTGTGGCAAAGCTAGAGTTCTGGCCAAAAATCCAAAGGGCAAAGATATTGAAGATGGTGACAAATTCATTTGTAATGATGATTTCAAACACAAACTTTTCAGGATAAAGATCAATCAAATCCAAATGAAAGAAACGGTAAATCTTTCACTTTCTTCTAGTCCTAATGCATTAGAATTACATATGTTCATAGTACACATTTATAAAGATTTCATACCTGTAATAATACCACTACCACTAACATTTTCTGAGTCTATATCTGGATATATGTCAGTATTTAATCATGGGTTTCTTTTTGTTGGGGAGTGCACATGATTGGGTTGATACTCAGCATTGTGTTATATCCTTTTTCATTTAACATTCAGTCTTTAAAAGTTTTCATGTTACTAACTAATCTTCCAAAATAATTAGCTGTTGGGCCAGGGATTTAACTCAGTGGTTCCGCTGCCTCCCTCGGAAGCACAAGGTCCCAAGTTCGATCCCCGGTACCAAAAAAAAAAATTATAATAATTAGCTACACAGAATTTTTTTAGATGGCTGTTGTAATTTATTCAGTTACTTCATTGTTGGACACTTAAATTTATGCCTTTTAATATTATAAGACTGAAGAATCATCTTTGTACCTAAATCTTAATCTGTCTCATCTTTTCCTTATGATAAATTCATGAAGCAGAATTTTAGGGTCAATGGCTTTGTGAACATTTTAAAGAGTCTTAGTAAATAGTGCTTTATTGTGTTCCAGAAAGGCTGGACCAATTTGTCCTCTGTCCAGCAGCTTTAGTGCTTCTCTTACTATTCCTTCACATGCACTAAAGATAATAATTCTCTTTTTAAAATCTTTGCCAACTTGCTTGGTGAAAAATCAGTGATTTAGTTAGTATTTGTTTCATTAACAGTGAAGTTCAATATTTTGTTTTTGTTATTTGAATTTGCAAGACACTTTTATTAAGGAAACCAACTATAGTATCCTGAAACAGATTGGTTTCAGTTCCAACAAAGTTTAATGCAATACTTGAGAAAAAGTTTTAATGTGCCAAAAGGGTCAGTATCTTCAAACAAGTTTCTGGCTTTTTCACATAACATCAAGATTACCTTGTTCTTCTGAAACATTTATGCTATACTAGAAAGAAACTTCTGCAGAAAGTCCAAGCTATTTTGATTTAGTTACTAAAGATTAGCATTTTTACTTTAGCATCACGATTGGTAAACTCATTCCCAAACACCTAAATTTCTGTTACTTTTGAGGGAATATTACAATGCATTTTGGATTTACATATTACCAAATAAAAATGAATTTTCAAAGACTGACTCTTAACTAGTTCGCTTAGCTCATTAGTGCCCTGAGTCAGTTACATTATAGTCAAGCTGTTGTCATACAGAAATTTGATCAATAACTCCTCGTAAATGGCATACACAAATGTATCAGGAAAAGAGTAAAAACTGTTTGTTGTTTGTAGAATTTTGTTCTGTTGTGTTTGTTCTTAATAAGGTCCCATTTAGATGTTTCAATACATTGAAAGCAATAATAATATGTCCCAGCTGGGTGTGGTGGAACATGCCTATAATCCCAGTGATTCCAGAGGCTGAGGCACCCTGGCCCACTTATCAGAGCTTGTCTGCAAATAAAAAAAGGGACTGGGAATATGTAGCTCAGCACTCCTCAATACCCAGTACCAAAAAAAAACCATCATGTACCTAACGTATATATATATAGTTTATGTATGTGACTAATACAAGTTTCACTTCAGGTACAGTGCATTAACTTTAAAACATTTGTGTTTAGGTTGAAGAACAAGCAAGCACTACAGAAAGAGTATTTCAAGATAGACAGTATCAAATTGATGCTGCAATTGTTCGAATTATGAAAATGAGAAAGACACTTAGCCACAATCTCCTTGTTTCAGAAGTATATAACCAGTTAAAATTTCCGGTAAAGGTGGGTACTTTAGTGTTTTCACATTGCCCTTGTTATAAATAATACATTACATTTTCAGGCATTAATTTTAAAAATGTAGATTAAGGCCTCAAGATTAAGGCCTTTTGAAAGACAAGTTTTGATTTCCCGTGTTTATGCACATGATTGAAAAAAACCCAAAAACTTTGTTGATATATGTAGGCAGCTGTGAAAAAGGGGGAAAGCAATTTATAAAGCCTTTAATACCAGAAAGTTTTAATGACTAAATGAGTCTTTGATACTGGGGATTGAATTCAGGTCCTTTTGCTTGCAAGGCAGGCGCAGTGCCACTGAGCTAAATCCCCGGCCCTAAATGAGTCTTTGAAATTTTCAAGTTCATCTATATTTCTGAACTTTTCTCCTTGAAATACCTTAGTATTTGACAGATTTGGTTTCTTTTTAGGTTGAGTTAAATCTTCTGTTTTATGGGAAAGGTTGTAGCTTAGTAGTAGAGCACTTCTCCACCATATGTGAGGTCCCTGGGTTTGATCCCCAGTACCACAAAAACAGCTGCAAAAAAAAAAGTACAAATAGCTGGTCATCATTAAGTGTCTTTTAGCCAGGTGTGGTGTAATCCCAGCACTTGGGGCTGTAGCAGGAGGATCCCCATGAGTTCAAGGCCAGCCCACACTACAAAGCAAGACCCTGTCTCAAAACAAAAAAACAGAGTTACGACTTGCCTGACATAAAAACAACTTGGCTTACAACTGGAATTTTATTTTTAACTTACAACCAAAGTCTTGAGTTATGACTCATATGCTGGCCACTTGTGCTTCCAGATGGTCTCAGATACAGATTTAACCCTTAACGAGTTCTGGAAGGAACATGACAACATCCTTTCCTGTATAGGGTTCATTGAGAAATCCTGGGCCAGTGTCTCTCTAAGGACTCTGAAATCTGCCTGTATACAGGAGAGAGACTTTAAAGGCTATGTAGAAGAGCCTGAGGCTTCAGTTGACCAACTTGGGTTACAACCAGCCTTCATGAACAAATTGTGTTTCTAAGTCAAGGGTCCACTGTAGCTTAAAATAATATTTAAGTTTTTTATTAACATGTATCATACATATTAATGGGGTTCAGGGTGATATTTTCACACATGCACGCAGCATGTACTGATCAAATCTAACCTCCCTTTAGTGTCTTTTTTTTCTTCTATTTTTTCAGACAGGGTCTTGCTATGTATTCCACACTGGCCTCGAATTAGTGGCAATCCTCCTGCATTAGCCTCCTGAGTGTTGGGATAACAGGCTTGCACCACCGTACCCAGCTGTGTCTTTTAAAAAGTCTAATGATAGTTTTGTTATACTGAAATTGGTCATTAAATGGACATGGTCCAGTGTAAATTCCCAGTAATAAAGATGCTTAGACAATGTGATACTGTACTGGACAAGTTTTAGACTATTTCTAAATCCTTGTGTTGATAAGCTCTTGATAGACTCCAGACTCCTGGTTGTTAAGAGTTCGTAAGAGCTTTGAACTTTGGTAAATATTTAACCCTGTTGAACTTGTTTCTTCTTTTGTAATATGGAAATAACAATTGTACTTACCTCATAGATTATTGTGAGGCTTAAATGAGATCATGAATGTAAAATACTTAGCACTGGACTTGGCATGTAGTAACCACTCAATAGCACACTCATTTCATCTCCAGCCAGAGAGATCCCTGATGCTAGAAGATCACTGTAATAAATATTGTGGTGTTATTCTAGGTCTTTCATCATAATTAAGAGAAGAAAATAATTTGATTTTCAAACCTTGGGATTACTAGATAAAATTTTTGCTGTCCCATCTTTTCCCTCTTTTCTCCTTCTTTGTGTTGGTTTTGTTTTCAAGACAAGATTTTACTGCGTTGCCCAGACTGGCAACACTTGAGCCTCCCACCTTGGGCTCATTAGTAGCTGGAATGATAGGTATGATCCGCTGCACCTGGCTTTTCTCCTCTTGAAGTGGTCATTTTACATATGCGCAAAACATGCTCAAAGCAAGAGTATATGCTGTCACCCCTCCATATCCATGGGCTTTGCACCACAAATTGAAAATTCAGCTGTGTTTGCCACGTACAGTGATGGGCATCTGTAGCCACAGTATTCAGGAAACTGAAGTAGGATTGCTTGAGCCCAGAAATTTGAGGCCAGCCTGAACAACAAAATAAGATCCCCATCTGAAAAACAAATGCACCTGTATTGAACATGTACAGATATTTTCTTGTCATTATTCCCTGGTTAATGCATAAAGCAACATAATAGAACAACTATTTGTATTGAATTGGGTATTATAATCTAGAGATGATTTTAAAATATACAGGAGGACGTGCCTAGGTTATATGCAGGTACAGTACCATTTTATATATGAGATTTAAGCATTGGTGGATTTTGGTATCTGTGGATTCTGGTACTAATCACCTGCATACACCAAGGGATTACTATTTATAGCCTTTTTTATAGGTTAGATGCACAAGACACACAGTGGGATTTTGTCATCCATGAGCAAAGTGCAGTCATGATGACAAGCTATAAACTTTCTTGATTTTTAAACCACAAGATTCAGAAGTCCAAATCACTTAAAATAGAAAACATTTAAATTTTACATTAAACCCGAGATACATAGATGTGGTCTATGATGTGATGCTTCATTTATCAAGCCGTTTTGATGTAGTAGTCTTTTTGTCCATTTTTAAAGTTTTTCTGTTTTTAGTTTTGTTTTTTTGAGACAGGGTCCCACTAGGTTGCCCAGGTTGGGCTCAAACTTGCTATTCTCCTGTCTCAGCCTCACAGAGGATTGGGATTACAGGTGTGCATTAGCACTCCCGACTTCATGTAGTATTCTTTTCAATAGTGATTTCTTCTAGACAGTTGTTCTTTTCTTAATCTGTTTGTTTGTTTTTTTTTTGGTACCGGGGATTGAACTCAGGACCTTGTGCTTTCAGGGCAGGTGACGGAACCACTGAGCTAAATTCCCAGCCCATAGACAGTTGTTCTTTTAATGGTGGCAAAGTTCCACATTTATTAAAGGTAGGAAAAAAAAAACAGCAGGGTAGGGCAAGCTTAGGCCAAATAAAAGTAGGAAAAGGGGGGAAAAACTAAAAATGTACCATACAGTGTAGGGTTGGTTACCGCCAAAAGACACAATAGCCTCTTCTATACAGCTTTCAACTAAATTTATGAAACTGAGAACTTGGAGAACTAGCTTTGTCCTAAGAAAAAGAATACTTACCTTCTCAAACTATCTTGGTAAAACTAAATATCATTGTTCCCTAAACTATAATGTATGTGTTCCCTCTGTGGGGTTATGGTAAGTTTAGTCTTGTATTCAGTTGTGCAGAGGGTAACTAGTTCTGGGAAGATCTATTTAAAATAGCAAAGTAACAAAGTATAATGATGTGGCAAGAGTGTGATGGTATAGTAATGTATGGTATATAGAATAAAAATATTTCCTCACCTGGTTTGTTTTCATTATTCTTTTCACTAAAATTGGGGGGTCTTTTTTAAAATCAAATGACCTTTTTTATAGCAAAACATTTATTGGTACATTTTAGACATACATAATGAAAACACTCATCATAGGGAATTTGCACCTGTACACAATACCTTCCACCCCCTTTTTTCTCAAGCCCTCTCCCCTCCCTATGTACAAAAGCTTTGTTTCCATTTTTTCCTTAAAGGGATTTAAATAAGTAATTTGTTTAAGTTAAGGAAATTAAATACAGTAAACCTGTAATCCAAAATTGTTCCTTTTAATGGGGTGATGGTAAATGGACTTGAGCTAATGATTATGAACTTTCCATTGAAAATTTGCTTTCTCTTACAGCCTGCTGATCTTAAGAAGAGAATAGAATCCTTAATTGACCGGGACTACATGGAAAGAGATAAAGAAAATCCAAACCAGTATAATTACATTGCATAGAATGTTGGCCTTGAAGCATTTGGTATCATATCCACTAGCCAGTGGATAAACTAACCTGTTGATTCTGTGTTATTTGACTTCTTTTTTACTACCGATGACCAAATGAAGCAGTATAATGGAAATAGTTGAGTGGACTTTTTCTCAGTGGTTAACATGCCCATTTTAAAGAGTAATACTTACCCTTAAGACGAATGTTGTCGAACTCTTTGCATGTTACTTAATATGATGTGCAGAAACTCTTAAGAAAGTACCGGTCTTCATGATTCCATTTTGGAACTAGGGAAGACGTTCCCATGACTATTAAAGGGAGGGAGTTCTTATACATCATTACTTATGAAGCAGAAAATTTATTTGCTTAAAGTGTCATTTGAAGATACTTAAAACTGCATGCAAACTTTATTTACTGTACAGAGTTCTGGATGTATTTATCAAATAGAGAAACCACCCTGGACTTGGTTGTTCACCTGTTTTGTGATTTTCCTTTGGAAGAAAATTGAGTTGTCATAGTTATTGATATTTTATTAGGCAGTGTTCTCTTACACTGAAAGGGATGTTTTTTAAAAAAATTATTTGGAAACAAATTTTCAATTAAGGTAACAGTTGCTGTATAATATCTTATATATTCACATCCTAAAATTTTGCATTTGTGAATATGGGATGTATGTATATGGCTTAGCCCCGAGTTTACCGTGCAGATTAACAGGTACTTATAAAACTAGCTAAAATAGAAAACTTGCTGATCATTTGTGCTAAGCATTGTACATGGTAAAAGAAAATCCAACTCTTCATATTAAATACTAGTACAGTGTGATAATTGCAAGAGAGACCAAAATCAACGTGTTTTTAAAATTATTACAGGAACAAAAATACATCAACTATTTTTCAACATGCTTTAAATTTTAAGTGTTGTTTGGACAGTTCTAGCTTTAACTTGGACCAATATAGATTGTTAGCATTCCTTTCTTCTCTACCAGAGTTTTCTTTTGGAAGCATCACAAATCTTCTTTGTTGATAAATGAGCCATTACTATCGTTCTTGTTCTAATTCTCTAAAACCCTAGATATAAAGGTCTTCCCTCATTTTCTCCACATACTTTTGAGGAGTTTCAAGTTCTATTTCTTTCAAAATTGCTTGAAGTTAGGAGTTCTCATAGCCACTGGACATCTACTTTTCAGGGGAATGTTCTGTGATTGTTCATACATAGAAAATTTCAAAAGTATTGTTCTTCACATCAATATTCTGAGCAGAAGGCTTAATCAGGAGTGGGTTTTTCTTTGACTTGTTTCTTTTTCCTTGAAGGGATTTGATCCTGTAGGAAATGCAGAAACTTTTGGTTTATTTTTTAAAAATTAGAACTTCTTTAATGCTTCTTGCAACTCATATTTCCTTGCCTATTTAGAGCCATTTAAGAAGAATGCCTTGGTCCTGATCTTCAACTGAGGAGACTTGGGACTCTCCTGTCCCCTATTGATTGTTTTCTTGAGTTCTCAAGGGCCTGTGGCCAACCCTATTTATCGATCTGTTTATCTGTCTATCTTAAAGTCACCTGTTTCTCTCTAATTGCATCATCTTGCACACTGATGTCTAACTATATAGTATTTAGAACTCTTTTCACATTCTTTTTGAACAGTCATTGCCTATAATTTCTCAGCTTTTCCTTGGTTTCCTTATTAGGAGCTCATCTGGCAAGGAAATGCAGCTAGCTTGTCCTCTCTCCATACTGGACCATCTACATCAGTATTCTAACTCTTCCCTGATGGTCTCTGACATCTGCAGACTATTACGCCAGACTCAGTAGTTACTCTTAAGCAATTTTTAGGTGGAGTTGGTCCTATTAGGAAGAGACTCTTGATGTCAGCTTCCTTATCCTCAAAGGGGGTTCCTTCCCTTGAAGTTTTTTAAATCTTTGAAAACTTGATACTGTTTCAGCTGAAAAATTAGCAAGATTATTAAATAAGTTAAGAGGAGCTATTTAAGATGCTGAAGAGTAGTTACAAACTACATTGGATAATTGTGACTTTCAGTTCTGTATCAGTTTAATTTTTATGCTCTTTTCCCTGTGTACATGGTGGTTCTATTTTTCTTCAATAAAACTTTTATTCAAAAAAGAGTTTCTGGGGAAGATCTTTAAAATTTGAATATTGTAGGAAAGTTACAAAACCACAGAACTTCAAATCTTCCTATGATTTCCTTTAACGAATTCACATTTGTCAGTTTTACTTTTAAAATTTCTCTTTGCTATTCTTGTAGCAGTTTTGAGATGATACTGTAGAAGTCTGAGGGAGGGTATGGTAAAAAAAAAAGTGAGTAAAATTTCTAAGAATCTTCAAGGTAGGTAATTATTCCTAAATGTCATTTTGGAAAACTTACACTTGTTTGTACAAGTAAAAACATTGTTCATTCAGGTCCTCAAAGTCAACTAGTTTTGCAAAGTAAAGATCTTTAAGTTGAGAGCAGAATAATTATGTTTTAATTATGGCACTTGATCTGTGTTTTCTGTTAATAGTTTGTATTCTGGGCCCAATACTGTCACAAGAAGATATTTCTCCCAAGTTTTTTGAATTTAATTCCTAAGCCTGCTGAATGGTCTTAACATGATGTTTGCCATACTCTTGAAATTCCTACCATATATGTGTGTGTACAGTTAAGGAAATTAGATTATTCAATTTAGGCATCTGTGTCTAAAGGTTTGAGGAGTTTGATTTTTAAGCTTATTACCCGTGGATCTTTTAATTAGCTGTTTTTGTTTAATGACATGTTTTTTTAATATATTAAAGTGCTATTTATTGTATACAGAAATTAAAAGCTTAAAAAACACCCAGAGAAACTTCAACTTTACATAACACTTAATGCTATAGTAAAGTATAGGAGAGGCCAATCATATGTATCCTTAAAAAGTAAATTAGTTGGAGTAATGATGTAGTTCTGAACTTCCAAAATACTCTTAAGCTGGGCGTGGAACATACACCTGTAATCCTAGCACTCAGGAGGCTGAGGCAATTCAAAGCATGAAACCCTATCTCAAAAAACCAGTACTCCTATTAAGCAGTTGTGAAGGAAACTGTTGAAGTTCTCAATTGGGAGATGATAATGAAAAGCTGACAGTTACTGAATGTGACACCACGTTGTGCTGCTTAGTATTTCCATCTCATCGTCACTTACCACTCCTTTCTCAGATAAGAAAATTGGGCCACAGTTTAAGCAACTTTCAATATTAACAGAATAACCAGAGCCTGGAAACTGCTGTACAGAAAGGAGAAATGTAATTATAAATCTTGCATTTAGAAGTGGTAAAAAACATGTTTTAATGCTGGAAATGGCAGTGTTATGAGCATATTTTTTCTCTAGTTTACATAAAACTTGCTAAAATAAATTGTTCATTAAAAAGAAAAGAATAGCACAAATGGGAATTTACATAACTGTGCTTTATAAAATGGTGTCCTTTGCTAATGCTTTATTAATGAATATTTTCAGTTGCCTACAAAAGAAAAATTGTTTTACATTTGAATAGTGAACAAGTGAAAATCCAGGATTTTGTTCAGTTTTCCTTTTTTTCCCCTTGCTGTTAGAAGAAATGGTATTTCTTCTTTTGAATGGACACATAATATCCTTTCATATTTAATATCCTTAGAAGTCATGTCTAGCATAGTAAAAAAGAACAACCAGCCAGGCATGGTGGTACATACCTGTAATCCCATCACTCAGGAGGCTGAGGCTGGAAGATCACCAGTAGTTCAAGGCCAGCCTGAACTACATAGTGAGACCCTGTCTCAAAAAAAAAAAATCTAACCTTTTTTGATTTGTAGAACCTTTTTAATTTGATACAGAATATATGAATGCACTGTATTAGACACATTAGAACGTAACAATTTTGTAAATTACAAAACAACAGGTCCTTATTTATCTTAATTCTTGTAATAAAATCTTTATTTTTAAATTTTTTATTGTAATAAAATATATAAAATTACCATTCTAACCATTTTAAAGCGTATAATTCAGACATTCAGCACATTCACCATATTGTGTAGCCATCATCACTGTGTACTTTAGAACAACCCAAAAGGAAACTCAGTAGCCATTAAGCAGTCACTTTTCAGCCTCCCTCTCCCCCAGTCCTGGAATCCACTGATGTTTCTCTCTAGATTTGCCTATTCTGGATATTTCATATTAATGGAATCATTATGTGACCTTTTGTGTCTTCTTCCATTTTAGCACATTTTCAAGGCTTATCCATATTATAGATGTATCAGTACTTAATTCTTTTTCTTTTTTGTTTTTTTGGGGTTTTTTTGGTACCAGGGTTTGAACTCAGGACCTTGAGCTTGCCAGGCAGGCATAGCACCACTGGGGTACGTCCCCGCCCCTTCCCCCCCCGGCCCTTTTTAAATTTTGTTTTGACAGGGTCTCATTAAGTCACTAAGTTGCCCAGGCTGGACTCAAACTTGGGATCCTCCTGCCTCAGCCTCCCGGTGTGGTGGATTACAGTCATGTACCACCATACCTGGCTTTAATTTTTTTTTTATGGCTGAATAATATTTGTTTATCAAATGAGTTTTTAGACATTTGAGTTGTTTCCATCTTTGGGCTATTTTTTATAGTGCTGCTGTGAAGATTTGTGTACAAATACTTGAGTCCCTGTTTTAAGATCATTTGGGAATATACCCTGGAGGAAACTAGCTGGGTTACATGGTAATTCTGTGTTAACTTACTGAGGAACTACCAATTTTTCTACAGCAGCTGCATCGTTTTACATTTCTACCAGCACTGTACAAGGGTTCTAGTTTTTCCATATCCTCATCAACACTTGCTGTTTTCTAGTTTGTTTGTTTGTTTTTTGGTACCAGGAATCGAACTCAGGACCTTGAGCTTGCAAGGAAGGCAGCAGACCACTGAGCTAAATCCCTGGCCTCTAGTTTTGTTTTTATGATAGCCATCCTAGTGGGGTAAAGCAGTAGTTCATTGTGGTTTTGAATTTCATTTCCTGATGACTAATGGTGCCTTGAGCATCTCATCATGTGCTTTTAATGGCCATTTGTACATTTTCTTTGGAGAAGAGTTTTCACATTCTTTGGCCGTATTTTAAATAGGTTTGTCTTTTGTTGTTGAGATGTAAGAATTTTTTATTCAGATAGAATGATTCTCTAATATTTTCTCCAACTATGTTGTCGTTTCAGTCACTTGATAGTGTCCTTTGCACAAAAGTTTTTAATTTTAATAAAGTCCAGTTAATCTATTTTGTTGCTTGTGCTTTTGGTGTCACAGTTATGATACCATTGCCAGATTCAAGCTCATTAGAATTTTAGACTTACTGTTTTTCTTTTTTTTATATTTGTTTTCTTGTAAGAATTTTATAGTTTCTTACATTTAGGTTTTGGTCTCATTTGAGTTAATTTTTGTATATGGCATGAGGTAAAGGTCCAACTTCTTTCTTTGCCATGTGGATATCATTGTCCTAGCACCATTTGTTAAAGAAACTTCTTTCTCCCATTGCATGGTCTTGTCGCCTTTGTTTTAAATCAGGTGATCATTGCTGTGTGGGTGTGTCTGGACTCTTAGTCCTATTCCATCCGTCTATATGTTATTACGCTAGTACTATACCATTTTTATTACTGTAGCTTTTTAATAAATTTAAAAATCAGGATGTGTGTGTCTTTCAATTTTTCTCTTTTTCAAGATTGTTTAACTCTTTGGGTCCCTTGTAATTCCATATGAATTTTAGAGTCAGCCTTTCCCTTTTTTCATTTATTTATTTATAGACAGGGTCTTGCTATGTAGTTCAGGCTGGCCTTGAACGCACTATGTAGCCCAAGCTGGCCTCAAACTCATGATGATCCTTCTGCCTCAGCCTCTGGAGTGCCAGGATTATAGACATGGGCCACATCCAGCTAGCCTTTCCATTTCTGTAAAAAAGTTCATTAAGATTCTGAATCTATAGATCAATTTATGTTGAATCTATAGATCACTTTGGGGGATATTGTCACCTTAATATTAAATCTCGCAGTCCATGAACACAAGATAGCTATTTTTAGATCTTTTAAAAATTTCAAGTTTTATATTGTTCGTTGGATGTCCCATGTACCCCTTGTTAAATACATTCCTAAATATTTTACTCTTTGATACATTTATGAATGAAATTGGTTTTTATTTTAAATTTACTTTTGATTGTCGGTGTGTTCAACCCTATGCAACTGATACTTGCATGTTGGTTTATATCCTGCATTTTTGGCTGGATTTGCTAGCTCTAATACATTTTTATGGATTTTAAGGATTTCTGTTTATGTATCTTTGCCATTTAAAAAGATAGTTTACATTTTTCCAACTTGGATGCCTTTAATTTCTTTTTCTAGCCTGATGTCTCTAACTGCACTTTCTAATACAATTTGGAATAGAAGTAGGTAATGTGGACATACTTGTCTTGTTCTTGATCTGAGGGGGAAGCTTTCATTCTTTCACCATTGAATATGAGTTAACTGCACGTTTCATAAATGCCTTTTGTAGTGTTAAGGAAATCTCCTTTTATTCTTAGTTTTCTTGAGTGTTTTTTAATCATTAAAGGTGTTGGATTTTATCAAATGCTTGTTCTGCATCAATTAAGATCATCGTGTTTCTTTTCTCCTGCATTCTATTAATGTATATTACATTGACTTATTTTCATAATTTGAACTGTTCTTGAATTCTTAGTATACATCACACTGGGTCATGGTATATAATCTTTCTGATATGTTGGATTTAGTTTGCTAATATTTCTTGAAGATTTTTGCATCTACATTCTACATCTACATTTGCATCTACATAATACTGGTCTGTAGCATTCTTTTGATGTTTTTTTCCAGCTTTGACATCAGGGTAATTCTAACTTCATAAAATGACTTAACTAAGTGTTTTTTCCTTTTCAGTTTTGGGGAAGACTTTGAAAAGAACTAGTACTCATTCTTTAAATATTTATAGAATTCGCCAATGAAGCCATCTGGTTCTGAACTTTTATAGGTCTATTCAGATTTTCTCTTTCTTACATGTTTTGATAATTTGTGTGTTTTTAGGAGTTTGTCATTTTTCATTTTGGTTATCTAATTTGTATAATTAATTGTTCATAGCAATCTTTGCAATCAA